GTGGGTGTTTTCACTCGTATCTATATTTACGCCTATGTACATTTATATTAAAATTAATTCAATAATGACAGAAGACTGGATCCACAAAATGCCATATAATTTTTTGTCAGAATATTTTCTATTTATAATTTTTAATTAGCTTTACCATGCTAACTTTCTTGTTATAGTCTTTATTTGACACGATGTATAGTGATCGTATTTGTATTCTAACGGATTTTCTAGAACCTATTTTACTTATTTAGCCCTTATTTATTTTACTGTAATCTATTTATACTGTAACACTAATTAATCACTTGAACTACTTCTTATTTGAATGGCACGGCATTTATAGTGCTTATGTACTCGTCGCTGTATTTATATCACTCGGTAAGCGCTCGCAATTTGCACTGTTTATGTATATCACTGACCAGCTCTAACTCCGGCTGTCATCCAGTAGCCTCTTTATATTGTTATCAAATTCTCTGAAACAGTGGCCGTTCTTCTTGAGAATTCGGAAGCACCTATTGTTGAGTAGGTAAATATGGCCACTTGAATATTATTTATTACCTTTTTACAGGGGTTCTCTAGACCCGTCGAAAATCAATCTCAGATGAGTTGGGTGAGCACTCGCACTGAAAAGGCGAAAGTATAAATGAGCAGCTAAGAGAAGAAGGTGGCAGGGTTGATGAAACGGTGGTTTAGTTTAGGGGCGAAGTCAGACAGTGTCGGAGGTTTGCCGCGAATCTGATTGCAGCTTCGGGGACTCAAGGTAGACCAGTTTCTTTCAGAATTTAGGCGTTCCTGGCGAACCAAGGCTAGTCGAGTGCGGAACGATAGATCTGCATGTAGGCACCTTGGAGGATTTGTAGGTAATGGGCGCAGCCGCAGATGGGCGCAAATACTTCGGACGTTTGCTTTAAACGCATGGTTTGATGGGAGATGGAGATGTTTTGGAAAAAGGCTTGATGGTGATGAAAGCGTCTAAGGCATTGGAATGTGTGGCTAGGATGTGTTTGAGCCAAGTGAGTGTTTTATCGAAGATGACGCTGAGGTATGTGGTGCAATGGCTCAATTTGATGGGACATTTGTTGACGCTGTTAGGGGGTGGTTTTCGGATCCTACGGGAGAAGAAAATTGCTTAATTAATGGAGTTTCCATCTTCGGTACCAATTTAGGAGCAGGGGCAGAAACTTGTTAATTTTTGCACTGGAAAATTGAGAGGAGTTTATGAGGGCGATGTCATCGGCGTAAGGAGCTGTGAGAATAGAGGGATGGTATGTCTGCACAGAAAATGTTGAACAGAAGGGGTAACGGCTTGGAGCTTTGAGAAACACTGTGACGGGTTTGTTTGGGAATAAAGCAGAGGCAACGTGAACACGAAGGGTTCTATCAGAGAGGAAAAATCGGATAATTCCGATGATAAGACCTTCGTGCCAAACTCGAATGAAGGCTTGCTAGATGTCATGCAGAAGCATAAAAGTGTGGCGGCGCTTGTTTTGGTTGTTCGGAAACAAGGAGAAGTTAATGAAGTGCTGACTGCGGAAACCGTATTGAAAGTCGGACAGGAGATTATTTAGATCGACGAAGGCAAGAATGTTTGCGGGAAGAGGTTTCTCTGTTGTGGAGGAGACGCGGGAGGTCGTGGAGAGCTCGATGGTGTTGGTAATCTCGTTTGAAGTAAGATTGATAGCTTCATCGAGTTCCGCTATTGTGCGAATTGAAGTGTACTTGAAGGAAGACGTTTCGAGTGTGCAGCGGAGACGTATTCAGTCTAGCGAAGTTGTTCGGTTTGGGGGGTTGAGGGTTGAGCAGCCGCCTTCTACCGTGCGTAGAGCGTCGAAATCAGTGGGATCGTCGAAAGGAGTGACATTTTTTGTGACGAAGATGTTGAGAATGTCATGAAGTTGATTGTGAGGGGCGGGGAGATACGTAGAGTCTGGAGGAGCTTCAACCGCGAGGCTGCTACGATAGTCGAGACGTTTGGGTGAGGAGGCGGATGTCAGGAAGAGACTGTTCGGATGGGAGGAGTATAGGGAGATAATTCTGAGGGGGTTAGTTAGTTGTTAGTGAGACTTCAATGCCAACTGCTTCCAAAGAATTTGTGGCTAAAGAGATGGACCTGTGCTTTACTACTCGGAAGATTATTTGGGTGGTCTGTTTTATCCATGGGTTTTCCGGTAAGTGGCGCCGTGTTGTTTTTGCAGCTTGCGCAGGAGAGGTTGTTCAATAACAACACATCACTACTTATAGCAGGTTAGCAGGTGTGGTTAAAATCGCAGTTGTAGTCCCGTAATACCTTAAGATTGTGTGAAATTGATAGTTAAGGTGGAATTATCAAATTGGGTTTTGTTAGGGTTTTCCCAATCCCTGCAACAAATGGATAATTTTTAATGGTATAATTTCAATAATAAATATTTATGGCCCGAAGTTCTGTGTTTTCTTCGCTAACACATATTTTGTACGGAATTCATAAAAGAATCTGAATAAGTTACTAATATCACACAATATATGTAAGTATTAAACGACTCTACCACTCTGCTAAATGGGAAAAAAGCTAAAAATACTTAAGGATATAGGAATGCAATTTAGAGATAGAAGAGTGATATATACTTAAGGTTTATAAAGAGCAACAGGTATTATAGAATTGGAGCATGAAAGGCGGTGGACAATGATGTGCATCGTCACCGCTACTTTTTAGTTTTTGTATTGAAGATGTTAGATATTATTATTACTAAATACAGAATCGCTTTAGTGACAAAAGATCAGCATACTTATACTAGGAAATGACATGGTAGTATTAGCATAAACCATAAAGTAAAAATATTATTTATCTTACTAACAAGAGAAAATCGAAAGAACTGGAATGACGAACGCCAAAACTTTTGTAATTGGAACAAAAAACAAAGCAGAACAAAAGATAATTTAACATTAATGTATACACTAAAACAAAGTGGATGTGCGTATACCTAAGTATAACGTCAAACTTGTTTTTTTGCGTGTTAGTTAATTTGAATGAAAATGTGATTGAAACGTTTACCCTTTTGCAACAAAACGGCTTGCCGACAATATGAAATTATTGTGATTTTACGGATAATCCAATTAAGCAGTTGGTACGGTTCCAACTGTATTGTAGTTTAATAACGTCAATGTAGTATATTTATTTTTTTTTTTTAAAGTTTGCTAACAAAGTATAGGCATTCAATGTGTATGAATACACTATTTCCTGCCTTACCGTTTTCTCCATAATTGACTTTTTGCTCATACCTACATGAATAATAGAATTGTTTTTCAAATTTATCATCTACAGATTCGTATTGTTTTATATTGTTACAAGGATTTAAAAAAAAAAAATAAAACCTACGAATGAAATTTCCCTTCGAATACCAAGCGTTTCATTATGGTAATGAATTACTGTGTTTAATTTGCAAATGCTCTGCGTATCTCAGATCATTACATTAACGTCTTGCTATGCCTGAGTTGCAATAATTTATTCACTGGTTGGAGTGATAACAATAAAGTTAAGCGGCCTCTCTTTTTCCAAAAGCTTTTTTATGTTTGGTTGAATTAATTCAATGTCATAGTTACTTTTTCCAACCAGAATTTCAGTATTACTGCTTAATGCACCCCCGGATGTGTTTTGTGAATATACATTGGTGGCGAGTTGAGAACCGATTTTAAGGATATTCCGTTACATGTAGGTAATTACCAAGGGGTGACATCATATTTTAAAATATTCAACGTGGTAAGGGAAAATTCGCACAAATACTTTCAGCCATTTTTTCATATGAATAATACAATAATTGCAGTTTTGAGGTTCTAATACGCTTTGTTCAAAAGAATTTGGGAGGGAGGTTAGTTTTGGACAGTTTGCAAAGATATGATTGAAAAAATATATTCTACATTTTCATCAAATTACAGATTATCGTTAGTGCGGCAAAAAGAAAAAATGCCAACATAAAATCTTGTGATCTGTATGATTGGTGAACGTTTTGCCTTACTTGTATAATAATACACAGGTGTACAAGCAGTGATGAGCTAAATTGGTCTTGGTCTTGCAGTCTTGGTCTTGGCCTTCGAAAATGTAAGACCAAGACTATCTTTATGCTAGCAAGACCAAGATTAAGACTGAACAAACAACACCAAGACTAAAACTAAGACCGAACAAACAAGATCAACACTAAAATCAAGATCAAATATGCAAGGCCAAGCCCAAAACTGATTACTTCCGGTGGATTTATGAGTTAATCTATTTGAAGCAACTTTAATATACTCTTTTCTTGGAACAAAAAATTTTTAGTATTTTAAATATTCAGTTTCCTTTACCAGCTTTTAACACTAAATACTAAAAAAGAAATTTTACCACTGTTTAAAGAGAAGAGTCTACAATAATGTCCTCGGACTAAGGGTTCTTTGTTCCCATGCCTGGATAACAAATGTTTGAAATATAGAAATAAATTATTTTTTTTTCGGTATTTTTTACTTTCAAGTATCTTGGTCTTGCTTTGCTCATACTACAAGATTGTGTGAATTAATTTAATGTAATTTACCTATTCAGAAAATTTATTTAAGAAAAAGGCAGATACAGACAAATAAACCGAATGCGATTTTAATGAGCGTCTCATAATTTAATGCTAATTTAATTCTCATCTCATCTCTTATGCGTATAACTGAGATTTATGTTCTCATGGGTTTGCTTTTTGAAGAAACGAGTTAATCGTAACTTATATGTATAGTCGTATTCTAGAATTTAGTGGAGTCATTATTATTATTTTCTGTACATTCCTTGGAAAGTTATAAGAATAAAATTCTAAAAACGATTTTTTTTGGGACGTTAAAACGATTAGTATACAGGCAAAAGAGCAATTATGTAATGTATAATATAGTAGAATAGGCAAGCCCTTCGCTTTGTATTAAAAGGGTCGATTGAAGTAGAAGCTGATACACAAAAGTATAATTTGTAATCTACTAACAGTCAAACATTTTTGATAGTTTTACCTTGACATTGTTTTTTTTTATTGCAGATCAGCATATGATACTGCTACAAAGACCAAGGTGGCAATTAAGAAAATATCACCTTTTGAACATCAAACCTACTGTCAGCGAACATTACGAGAGATAAAAATTTTGACACGATTTAAACATGAAAATGTAAGTACTATACATATAAGTTGTATTATTTAGATTAACGATGTTAAAAATAGCACATCATAAATTGCGGCGTACAGAGTAATAAATATCGAAAATTTAAAATAAAAGAGGAATTACTAATTAAATAATCTTTTATGTTTTTCAGAAACTAATACAGCTGTATGATTTAATTAAATATTTTTATATATATCGTGTTTCACCAAACGTTGACTTTTTTAATTGTAAAGGTACAGAGTCGGTTAAATGGGGAAAGTAGTGCTCGTTATCATGCCACATGTCAATTCTTATAACGTTGTAACATCAGAAACTAGAAGCAATTATTTAAAAACTCCTATTTCCAAATTGTAGTCTACTTTTTTGTTTTTTTTTTTTTCCAATGGTAAAAAAAAATGGGCTATGTTAAACGAATCAAATGAAGAGGACAGTTAGGGGAAATATACATACATTGTATAAGTAGAGGAAAATCGGTAATTATTTTTGCGCGAATAAATGGAAAAGGTCGGGGGTAAATAATGGACTTGAAAGTAAGGGAAGTTATTAGTATGTGTCACTGGACAGGCTGCGCTGATTGGTGGTCACATACGAATTTGCGCCAGGATGTCAGTTTTGTTTGTTGCAATTCATAGTCGAAATAAGTAAATACATAATCAAATTGTAGTTTATTTATTTTTAATAATTTAATTAATTTTGGTACTATGAACGATTCTGGTTTCTCCAAATAAATCTACAAGTTAAAAATATCGCAGTATTAAAATGATCAGTGCAGAGTGAAAAATTTCAACATTAAGGAGTTGATTCAATAAATTCAAGAACTTGATTTACAGATAAAAACTTTTTAATTACTTTTAATAATGATATTAATTTGGGAGACAAATTTAAACGAATATCACAGCTGGGAGTAGTTATATTAATGACCACGAGATCGCGTACTGCTATGTAGGACTTGTCAGTGACGACAGATTTACAGTCGTTCTGCTGCAGCAGTATATGTTATCTGTGGTCGGTAGTTGTAGTACTGTAGCGAGCACAAGTGTGTTTGTGTGCGATCGGGCACGTGTGTGCGTGAACGGCTTATCGATTCGCCTACTAGCCGCGGGCGCCTTTCTTCATGTGCGCCGTATTTGTAAATGTGTGTGTCGTACCTGCGTTCTGGGAAAGCAGTTAAACAGTTCAAAGAAAAAAGAAACTATCCGGATGTTTCGAGAAGGCTCCCGAAAGTAAACAAAAGAGTATTTAAAGGAAGAGACGATCGCCGAGAGAAGAAGAAATAAATTGACGTTTGCAGAAGTGAATCCAGATTAATGTAGAAATTTAGTAAAAAACGGAATAACTGTAGCGGATAAACAAAACAAGATATGCATGTATGTATATCGAATGTGGCATTGCATTGACGTAGCTCCTTACGTGATACGGATTGGCCCTTGTCTGTACATTCAAACACCTTTAATACGGTGAACTTTCGGACCACTAAACATTTGTTTAAATTTCTTGTTCTACAGTGCCCTATCATCTCCTGCAAGCTTACTACTTTTTTAGAGCAGTGATACCAAATTTATATAGGTAGATTAACGGGGTGTTTTTGGTTTTTTGTTGTAACATTCTACATATTCATATGATTTTAAACTAAAAAGTGACCTTTTTGAACATGAGTTCTTTCCTAAAAAAAAAAAACAGCCGTGCTGAATTTCGTAAATACAGAAGAATCCTTCAGATAGAAAAATTATCAAAGAATATTCCTAAAATTCTGATTTTATAATAGCATGATAAACAAAGTTATGTTTACTTACAGTATTTTATGATAATCTAATTAATGAATTCTCTTATCGTAATCGCATGTTATAATTGCCGCAGTATAAAGCAATGACTGCGTTATTTCGGACGGAGCCTACAGCGAAATTGTACCTAAATCGCTGCTAATATCTTGAATATGGGATAAATCTGGAATATTATTTGTTATTTAAATTGATTTTTCGTGTTTGCAAATGGAATATCGAAGTTTCGCCTCGTTTTTCCAGTATAAACACTATTATAATTTTCCGATTGTAACGCTTCGAAGTATTTTAATGATATATAACTTGTTAGGTTTTCACGCTGAAGGAAACTTCCAGAAAATTCGATGAAATTTATTGTTGAATTGCTCATCTTTCTTCTAGATCTTTGCAATCATATGTTGAGGTTATTTACAATCCATGAAAACTTCTAGAAATTCGATGGACCTCTTTCTTCTCGCTTTGAGGGCTTTCCAACGATATATGTTTTGTTGGGGTTATTTGAGATCAGTAGAAATTAACCGATTGAATGCAATGAAATATTTGATAGAATTCTTCAAAAAAGTTCCAGATTGTAAATTCTAGAGACTCTGATCTTTGTTAAAAGCGAGTTCTGGGCAACCCACAAAAAGCCTCTTGATGTATGGTGGTTGCCTACATGTGATACGAACTTGAATTTTCAATTAAATCATTGTAAGAAAATATTGCAAAAAGTATGCATACGTATATAAAATTTAAATAATGTGTAATATATTCTATTAGTTTTTTGTTATAGAAACATTTTTTTACGTTAAAATTTTAATACTGTTACATAAATCCAGTTACATTTGCCTATAATATATATTGTACCCGTCGTAATATGGACATTGTCCATAGTACATAACTGTTGCTTTAATCATCAGGGCGAACTTTCCCCTTATATCCTAACCTAAGGTATACTATTTAGTCTCTGGTGCATAGCATTTTACACAGAACTATCAGGGAATACTATCTCACCATAATCTAACACATAGCATTTTTCATATGTGAATCAGGATTCCCTCATAGCCGTAACCTACTTTAACTTAATGATTCCGTCGGCGGTTCTTGATCACAACCTCTGCTACATTCTGTGAATGACTACGATGCTAGACTGAATGCTGATTAATATCAGGCTCTTTCAACTGAATAATGATTAATAACATACTGCCCTATCATCCCCTGCAAGGTTGCTACTTATTTCAGAAACACCCTGTATAGTAACCGCGTGTAGTCTATATTCCACTAATGTATTTTACCATAGGAGGAAAAAAACAGAAAGGAAAATATTGCAACGAAAGGGGTGTGCGAGTGTGATGTAAATAATGTATAAAAAAATAAAATTCTGGCCTTAAGAGTGGAATAATGACATGAAAGCAAAAAAAAAATCAGTTAAAAACGACTTTCCTGTAGAGGTACCCTAATGGATTCAGTACACAAAATTTATTCAGGTGCTTTTAAAAAGTTGAAAGAAGAAATAAAAGAGAAGGAAAGATACGCAATATATCATATAAGGTGGCCCACTTAACAAATATGGTTCCCTTTTTGAATATGTTAATTTGTTTATTAACTTTTAACATATCAAATTAAATTTTATGTAATAAAAAGGAAACCTTGAAAGAACACCTTATAAATTAATGTTATTATCGGTCTTCTGTACAGCAGTATTTTCTTTTTAATAACACTTTTCATAGAAACTTTTCTTCAACAAATTCTGCGTATTTTGAATAGCTGGACCAACTTCACTGGTCAAAAAATACATACAGAACTACTTAGTAAAAAAAGAAAAGATACTTTAACTCAAACTATTGAGGTAATAACAAAAAAATGTTTAATATTAATGTGAAGATTCATTTAATATATTTATCCACTACAAATTAGGTCAAATTAATTAGAAAAAATTGTTACTGCAGTCACCCTCGTCAGAAATCGAACCCGGGATCTTTGGCGCATTTTTGCTCATTAATTGAGGTAAATTGTAGTGGATAAAAATTCAATGAATTTTCACATTAATATTAAATACATTAACCACTATTAAGAGTTACTAAAAGTATTGCATCTGATATTAAACAAAATCATCTATCAAATGAGCTATGTCCAGTTTTGTAAAGTAATGTAAACATTTATGGTCAATTTTTAAGTTTTTTATGTATTTCTTTGCAGTTGGTAAAACCTAATAATATGGTATAATATATTAGTGATAACTTCACACCGTCAACCATTACTCATCAATAAATAATAGAAGGAAATGACTATTATAACTGAAGATCTGCCATTGTTTTATTAGAGAAAAAGATATTTTAACAGATTTAGAACCTCATTATTTTTACACAAAAAAATGCATTTTAGCTAACGACTTATTAAAGAAAACAAAGCAGTCAGACAGTTTTGTTTTGGCACAAAAATTAAATTATATTATAAATTAAGTTAAAATCGCTAATTGCTAATAAAGTCAGGCCAAAAAAATTTTTCCTCTATTGTAACGCAGGCCAAAGATTGAACGTGCTAGTCGACATCTTTTTCCCTCTTACTTACTGAATGTGGAAATGAAGAGATAGAGAACTGCCATCTGGTGATTATAACCCATAGGAGTCATTTTAAAATGCTTCGAAAGCTAACTTGTTAGTAGCATCCGACAGTTCTAAATTGCCGAGGTGTGAGGAAAACATTTCGAAATATTATATACAGTCTTACCTTGGCTAAAATTTATAATTAATACTAGCTTTTCTCTGCGGCTTCGCTCGCAGAAATTAATATTGTTTCTCCATGAACCCTTTTAACTCCCAATTCACCCTTACAACGTTTTAATTTTATGTAATGTCGACATCTTAGATTTTAAATACAAACGTAGCAACAACATTTCATCTTTAAGGGTTGATTTTTAAAAATTGCCAAAACATGTATTTGCTTAATTTCAACAATGAGTAACCTTCGAGTAAATCCGAGTACAAATAAAATATTTCCCATGGAAACGTTGTAATCTCTTTTCATTTGATTAATAATATTAAACAGCATATATACCTAGTTTCAAGTAAATTCAACCACAAATAAAGTATGTCCCAAACAAAAACTGCAACACCTTTTTACCCCTTCCCCCTTTTGGAGGTTGAATTTTTTAAAATGTCGAGTTTCAAGTAAATCTGACCACAAATAATTTATGTTTTGTATGTTATTCCATGTCAGTTACGTTTTGTTATACCATTTTTAATAAATGAACGTTTACACTGATGTTTTGACTGATAAATTTTTCGTTTTGCTGTTAGTTGCGTTTTGTCATTCCATGTCAGTTTCGTTTACTTATACCACTTTTTCCACGGAAACGGGATAAAAAGTATCCTATATCCGTCTCCCGGTTCTAAGCTACCTCCCCACCAATTTTCAGCCAAATCGGTTCAGCCGTTCTTGAGTTATAAATAATGTAACTAAAACGACTTTTCTATATATATATAGATTTGTTGAATAGAGTAAGCAACTTAATTCGTTCCTATGGGGTGTNATGACAGAAAGACATATATTATTTTTAATCTGAGAGATTAGTTGCGCCCTGTAATGTCCGAATGTGACTTGCGCCCGACGGAAGGTTAATTCATTACGCCACTTATTTTATCATAGAATTAGCAGATTTAATACGTTTGTAAATATGTAGCATTGAAAATAACACATTTTGAATCATCCTTAATTATACTATAAGGTATAAGCATGATGTGATCCTGCGACCTTTGTCCCTACCTATGGATTACGCCACCGGTCATGACACTTTTAATAAGTATATAAGCTCGTAGGTAAAACTAATGTTAGTTGTTCATTTATGTGTAATTATAAAAATAATAAAGTGTAATAAAGGTTTCTGATCACCAAACCAAATAAATGTGTTAAAACAAAGTTTTTAAAAAACCCACCCGAGCATCGTATCTTTTAACTCGTAGGTAACATGTAGGAAACAGTACTTTAAAATTCATGATTATGATAAAACGAGCAAACCCGGTTGTTATTATGAGGGGAAGATTTCTTTTTCGTTCTATTCTATATATATATAGATTTGTTGAATAGAGTAAGCAACTTAATTCGTTCCTATGGGGTGTCCCACGACGCCACACAACTTTTCATTTATAATTTCAGTTATGAATGATTGTGTAATCAATGTTGCTAAAATTTGAAATTTTCAAAATGTTTCTTATATATTTTAAGCACGAACAACATCTTAGCGCCTCATAGGAACAGAAGTATCATCTCATACTCGTTGATTATGTTGCTGTCTCTTTTGTGTTCTATTTTTAACATTATGTTCTTTTTTTAACATTCGCAATTATAAATTTCACTATACAAACATTAATTGATGCTAAGAAGATGAAGACGATACTATTACCCAACCAGGACAGAAACTTTTTGCATGAAAATGCTTACCAACTACAGTTTAATTTTGCAATTAGTTTGAAATACTTAAATTATTATTAAAAATTCTGATAACGTGACGTCAGGTCTATCACACTGAGAAATCCGTCCGTTATTGTATCACTTAAACTAATAAAAATGTTTCTTTTACTTTTATTTGAAGAATTATGTTTTATTTTGACAGTTTATGATCGTTGTCTGTTTACATCAAAATAATGTGATTTATGTGTCTTTTTCAGATAATAGACATCCGAGATATTTTAAGGGCAGTAACAATTGATCAAATGAAAGATGTCTACATTGTACAGTGTCTCATGGAAACCGATCTTTACAAATTGTTGAAAACGCAGAGACTGAGTAACGATCACATTTGTTATTTTCTTTATCAAATACTTCGTGGCTTAAAGTATATTCATTCGGCAAACGTTTTGCACAGGGATTTAAAACCAAGTAACCTGTTACTCAACACTACATGCGACTTAAAGGTAAATAAAATCCAAGATGCCTGAACATACACTTCAGTAGACTCTTAAATCTATAAATGAATAGCATGCAAATATGTACATATGTTTTGATTAAAAGTCGTTGTGCGGCTATATCTAATTGTAAGTAAGGAACTACATATGTATGCTATAGATGCTAGAATTTCTGCTTCTTAACGTCTGCAAGGATTTTCCTCCTGATGCTATGGTTTCCTAGGATAGCGTGTCGCAACAGTTATCGTAGCGTTAATTGAGTTGGGACATGACATAAAAACAACCATACGGTTGACAAAAAATATTTTTGTCACCAACTTCTCGTTAAAAATGACTTTGAAAAACGATACCTCCTCGAACCGCTCAGGATTGTTTCAGCTGATTAATGACAAATAGATGGTGTGCTAACTTGATATCACACTAACAATTAGAAACGGCATAGAAATATACGTCAAGCTAACGCTACCAAATATCATTACCGTATGTTTTAAATCAATGGGGGAGGGATCTAGCCTGAATTTTTTTTATTATTGACTTCTAATACATTGTTGCGATAATTTTCTTATTATTTTTTCTAGAACTCCTCTCTTGAAATGTATTCGGGTTTTGAGGAATTCTGAAGTAAGTAATGAAAATTATCAAAACGTCATGTTAACGTCAGTAAAAAAAAACATTAGGCCTATTTTTCATCCTCAGTTGATTTAAAGCAAATGATAATGATATTAGGACATTCCAGGGATCACCTTTCAACGGTAAATTGTGGTCCTCAGAGTATTTTTCTGTAATATATCTATTTTGAAATATGTCAACATGTAGAAAAAACAATGTTTGTTGACTGAAAAATTGAGCTTAACTCACGCACACGTAGATATATTAAAATGGATGGCAGAGAAAGGCCGTCGAGTGTCTCCCAGTGTGAGAGAAAACGCTGCATAGTGCCCCTCCTTGTATGAACAGTCACGTTAATCACTTGATCCGGAACAGAGCTATCGGTAAACGTTATGGTGTAAATGAAAACATACGCTGTTAAAGAGAGAGGAACACTGTGTAGCGTTCTAATATATTTATGCGCATGATCCATCAGAAAACGCTACTAGAATCGGTTAGCTTTTATAACTTATTTTCGTACTTTTCAAAATCCGCTCAACGTTCCTTTCGATGTTTATCTGCTATAGCTATTTAGGATTTACCAAGGAAGTCTTTCGTTATTAGAACTTCAAGAACTAATAATCGAAATTTAGTTTTGAGGATTTCGAATTCATAATAATTTGATATGAACTTGAAACGCACTAACTTTGTAATTTTAAATAGAACACCCTGTATTTCATTTTATCATTGAAATTATGAGTTAATTTGAAGGCAAGTTTTGTAACATGAACCTCTTCGAGAACTCTTTCAATGTTTTTTTGAAAAACATCTCATAATTTTGTACCGTTAAATATAACGCTTTTTTCTATGTATAAAAACAATCTTCGGTTAGGTTAGGTAAGAGTCATTGAAGGAAACGTGGCCTAACCTAACTTTAACTCAATTTAATTTAATATACTCTATTCTTTAATGCAGGTTAACCTAAAAAGTACGTAATAAGCTCATTGCAGTCAAACTGTAACTTTAATCGAAAAATTTTTCAAAGAAAATTTACTCCCTATTTTAATGCAAGATCGTCTGTATTATCTAAAATTGATTTAGTATACAGGGTGTTCACAAATAGGAAAAAGAAGGTTTCGTTTAAATGGCAGCTATGTGAAATATGGGTCTAAAAGAGGAAAAAGTTGTTCAGAATACCAAAATAAGCAAAAAATCGCGCCGTCATTCAAATGTTTTCTTTCTAGTCAAATAGCCCACGATTTGATTTACCTTATTGGGATCCGTCAAATGGGAGGAGCCTAAAAACATGGCTCCGATTAGGGAAAATTTATCGTAGTTTCTATAGTGTACCGTGCAATTTCTAAGTTTTTAAATTACGATAAAATGATAAGTATTGACACAATATGTGATTGGGCTGACACAACAAATCCGGAAGCTAGCCTTCAAATTCTGTCAAGTTTACTGCCTACTTTTTACAAACTTCGGATTTAAGTGATTCACGTTATGTAATTGGTAAGGTAATTTTGGGTGATTTAAGCAATATCATATCAATGACTTGCACGTGCAAAGCCGATTTAAGAGAACGTTGCAAACACATTATTGCAACTTTGTTGTATTGCAGCAGGTCGGTTCTTAACCTCAAAATACTTATATCGAATTGTGTTAAATCAATTACACAGGAATAAATAATTTCTCACTTTATAATTTTAGTATGATTCTAGTTTTAAATATTAAGGTTATGGCTGATGGTAAATAGTTACTGAAATATAATCATGTGCATTAAAATGACGTGAACAAATTTTTATTCCGGAATTCACTTCTTTGATACCTACTGCTTTCATCCAAGCTTCTATTAGTTTACTTTTTTCTCTAATTTTCCTCATATATTTTTTACATATATAAAACGGTTAGTTTTTATTGGAAAGTAGTTAATGTAGGTGAAGAGTGAAGATCCATGTCTGAAGTGCTATTGCAGCTTTTCACTGAACATATTAACTTTTTATTTGATTTAACTGTAGAAGAAAACTTCGTCAACTCCATCATCAAAAAAATTTTTACTTTTTTAACGTGTTTTATTATTTTAATAAACAATTTTACAATTTGCGTGCACAGTTCCTTTGTAAATTTTTCCCTCATTCGAGTTATAAATTTTGCCACCAGATGGTGCATGCCCATTTGACGGATCCCAATAGGGTGTTCGAAAATAAAAAAAATAAGGTTTCGTTTAAATGATAGCCATGTGAAATATGGGCCCAATCGGTAAAAGTTAGAGGAAATAGTTGTTCAGAATACCAAAATATGGTGCTATGCTAAAAATCGCGCCAACATTCAAATGGACCAAAAAGTTCGCGATATTCTCATAAAGGTCAAACTGTATGTTTAACCGAAAATGTTTTCAAACAAAACTTGTTCCCTATTGTAATTCAAGATAGACTGTATCATCGAAATTTGAATTACTATACAGAGCGTTCGAAAATAGAAAAAATAAGGTTCCGTTTGAATGGCAGCCATGGAAACATGGGTCCAATCGAAAATAGATATAAAAAAAGTTGTTCAGAATTCCGAAATATGGGGCTATGAAAAAAATCGCCGCGATATTCATTTGAATTTTTTTTGAGTCAGTCGCTTGAACATTTGAATATCGCAGCAATTTTTTACATAGCCCCATATTTTGGACTTTCGAACAACCTTTTTTTATAACTATTTCGATTAGAACCATATTTCACATGGCTGCCATTTAAACGAAACCTATTTTTTTTATTTTCGAACACTGTATAGTAAATCAAATTTTATGCTATATACATCTTGAATTAAAATAGGGAACAAGTTTTGTTTGAAAACATTTTCGATTAGCATATTGAGTACTTTTTGGGCTACCCTGCGTATACTAACCTAATCTATTTCAAATATGTAACAATTTTTTTCTTAAAATGCTGATTACATTTTCGCGTACGGAAACACGCGCTTTGGGTGCTTACCCTAAATTTTGACCTCCAACAAGTTTTTCGTCCTTGACCACCACCTGTTTCCATAATTCCTTCGACTTTATAGGTCGGAGGAACTATCCATAATCAACATAGTAGCTGATGGAAATGAAACATATACTTACGGCATTTATTATTTTTTTGTAGTAAATACATATTACGCCTTAGGTACTATGAAATGTGAAAAACTGCGATCCGTTTTCGTTATTCATCACATGAAAACCAAAAAACGAGCCAAAATTTTATGCAAGGAAATTTTGCGCAGATGCAATTTTTTCGTATATTATATGGGTTTTTAACTATTGGAGAAAAAATGATTTTTCCGTTATTTAACATAAAACATAATCTTTAACGATTCATATCTTGAGTTCTATTTAATATACAGAAACAAAGAAAAAACCAATCGAATCGTTATTTGAAAAGTCACGTTTGTGTTCAGTAGGTTTTTTCTAAAAACGCATGGTTATTCGTGAAAAACCGCACCAATACATGCAGTTTTTGGCGAAAAATTAATTTTAATTACGAATAACTCCTTAAAAAAAAGTTTGCATAGAACATTTTTTGCTTATAAATCCCTATCCATTTCAGCAGTTATTTTAGTGGTACCAATTTGCACCTCTTAGAAGGGGTGGCAGGTGGTTAGGTTGCAAGCACACATCGGCACTATAAAATTTTTGATCCTTAAGCTTTTCCCTACGTACTTTTCGAATTTCACGTCAATGTGTATTGCCCGAATGAATTCGGAACCAAAAACCGTTATTCTCTGAATGATTACAATTAGTATTTGTTTTATTACTAATATGTAAATATTTAGTCCAGGAACATATCCTTTTGAAGCTTCTGTGACCCTTTTTAGTTCCCTGGCATTTATAAAAGATATTTTCCCATGTCTCTTTTAGTTAAATGATGGTCATTATAAAACAATGATAAAAATATATTCATTTCGAATAAGAAAAAATGGATAATTTACTGAAAATAAAAATTGAAAGCAACAAAAAAATGGGTAAACATTTTACTATTTTATCTATAAAGTATAATTCAGAATTGAATTCCAAGGTTAAACACCCCAGAAACTCCACAACTTCGTAAATTGATTAAATTTTGGTGCTGAATTATCGACATTTTGCGGCGGTTTGTCAAATAATTGCTTTTGTTTGACAGCTAAGTTTAATATACTGTATCAGTACATGTGAAATGTAGGATTCGTGGACACCCTTTGCAAAACAGTAAAATGCACAATTAGTGGAGTAAACGAAGATTTCCATTTCAAAAAAATTTGTAGCCAGGTAGACTTTGGTAAGCAACATTCTTCAAGTATGCTAGAATAAAATAGTGAAAAATCTATCGACAAAAAGTGTCCGCGTCCTATTTTTATTTAAGAATTGAAGAGCAAAAAATACGGTTTTTTGCGAATAACTTTTTAAATTTTATTTGTACATAAAAACATGGTGGCTACTATAGCCTTTTTAAGTCGATAAACAACAGTGTGAAATTAATGTATTTGATTCAAATCAATATTTAAAAGAAACATTGTAAATAATTGCAAAATTGGAGAAGAAAACAACAATATATTTATGATAAAAATTACCAAACAACTATCAAATTCGAACTGAAATTACAATTTTTTTCGCACTTTTTCTACGTTTTGGTCGGCCATTTTGAATTTTGCAAATCTGATATCAAATTCGCAATCAACATAATCAAAAACCCCTAGTACCTCATTTTCATGATTTTTCCTTAATTAATTTTCGATATATCATTTTGCGTTTTCTTGTGATTAATAAACAAATAGAAATTCAGCGTACAACACCAACCGGTAGACTTTGATCTGTAACCTGAGCACACATAAGAAGTTTTTATTAATTTTAATTCAGTTACATTCTAGTATTCCTAAACAATGCTTCCTTTTTTATTACGTTTGCTCTCTTATATCTACCTATCATTTTATCAACATTATCATTCAGTGTTTGTTCCGTCGCTATTCGCCGAAACGTTTGTTTTTAGTTATATACACATTTAATAATATCTTATTCGATTGCTTTTGGTTTTAACTGTACATTCTTTGCATCCTAATTTACATTATCGTGCNCTGCATAATAAATTATATTTTATTATATTTTGGACATTTTCCAGGGATATACTAAATCAATAGATATCTGGTCAGTGGGCTGTATTTTAGCGGAAATGTTATCGAACCGGCCAATTTTTCCTGGCAAACATTATTTGGATCAGCTTAATCATATATTAGGAGTTCTAGGGTCTCCTTCTCAGGAAGATTTGGATTAATTAATGAAAAAGTCAGTTGTGACCTATAAAACTATTTTGGACATTTTCCAGGGATATACTAAATCAATAGATATCTGGTCAGTGGGCTGTATTTTAGCGGAAATGTTATCGAACCGGCCAATTTTTCCTGGCAAACATTATTTGGATCAGCTTAATCATATATTAGGAGTTCTAGGGTCTCCTTCTCAGGAAGATTTGGATTGCATAATTAATGAAAAAGTCAGTTGTGACCTATAAAACTATTTTTTTCATTTATGATTCATTCTAACAAAACATTAATCATGACACTTATTATCTTTTAAACACCTATTCTCCAATTGTAACATATAATTTTGCACTATCTACCATAAAAACTAAGAATCGTAATATATTCTTGTTTTTAAAAAACTTTAATGTAATGCAGAATCGTTTAATGTTCTATATATTTTTATTTCGACATTTGTGGGGATTCATGAAATTAATTTTTAGGCAAGAAGTTATTTGCAGTCCTTGCCATTTAAACCTAAGGTTCCGTGGGTTAAATTGTTCCCCAATGCTGATCCTAAAGCTTTGGATCTTCTTGATAAAATGTTGACATTTAATCCTCATAAAAGAATAGAAGTTGAAGAAGCTTTAGCACATCCATATCTTGAACAGTATTATGATCCAGCCGACGAAGTAAGTACTTTCATAAGTATAATTTGATCTTTTCTTCGAATGTTTTCCATTTTATTAATTAAGTGTTTATACAAATTATGTATTGTATAATCTAGAACGGCAAAATTTTAGGGGCACGAAAATTTTAGAAACAGTAAAATTACAGAAATATTTTTTCGTTAGAATTTCTCATTTTCGTTAAGTTATGAATTTTTGAAAATAAGCCTTCAGGCTAAAAATCACTAAATTCTCAAATTTTCGATCACGAAGAAGTTTCTTTCGCTATGTATGATGAATTTAATAATAGCAAGCACAATGAAGGTATAGTAATAAAATTGCAAGTAATATTTTTTTAAGTTTTTGTTCATAAAGTTAACAAAAAAATATTTTATTATTAA